GTTAAAATTGTTTTCGAGTGACGGAGAACTCATCATCACCTCTGCTTCAATGCTTTCAATTTTCTGGTAAATTGCCGGCTCTGTTGGTAAAACATTCTGTTCAACATATTAAGAGATGAGGTTTTTGCGAACTTTAAATTAAGTTTGCTTTTGGTTTGATAACTGGTTTCAGTGGCACCGAAAATAACAAAGCATTCAAATATTACCTTAAAACCTGTTATCCTAAATACGAAAGTCTTTGAGACGTTTTTCCTTTTTTCCCTCTAAGTTGTTTACAGTTCGTCCTCGATATACTTCACAGAGTCATCAGAGATTGTCTATCCTTGCGCTGAGTGATTATTGGGTCATTATATTGGGGGATATGATCTAGTACTGGACCAATCAGAGTACGCGAATCTCTATAACCAACTGAGTCGATACTATAGAGGTTATTTTCAACACAGGTTGAGCCGTTTGAATTTTGGGTTTGATTTTGAGTTAAGACAATATTTGAAAAATGAACGATGTACTTAACTTAGAAGCTTAAATAACATATATGCTAAACATTTGTCCAGCTAGAGGTCCGAACAGCTTTAAGCTATCAATATCTATGTCACTTAAAATTGCATCTTATGTTGACTTTTGTCTTTGTAATGGTTTTATTTTAAGCAATACAATATCAAGGGTTTCGGAACTCTTAAGCTTGTAGATAGCGGTTAAAAATGGGTGAACAATAGTTTCAGCGGGCATTAAGCGTGTGGACTTATTTCCAAGCTGAACTCAGTTAAGTTCGACAAATACGAATTGATGACACTGTTGCCCGGGACTCTTGCTTCATCTTGCACTACGTTGGTCAAATTTTCGACTTTTGCAGGACCTTCAAACTAGTGGCCCGTCAACAAGTGCTAGAAAAAGGAAAACTATATGTAGTTTTAAAAATGACAAATGTTATCCAACGTTCTCGTCCGGGGATTGTGATTTAGATACCACAGAATTGTTAAAGCTTTTTGGACTGTGCATCGATGACAGTCAGTAAAAGAGTATCAAGGGTACTTAAGCGACACAAGCGCCTGATGTTCACTGCTGAAAAGAACCTTTTAGGATATTTCATCCTTATTTCATTTAAATTTTGTTCCGTGATATGAAATTATTATGGCAAGCAAAACTCTTGTTAACTTGCCAAACGCAACGAAAAATCTTCCACTTTAATTACACTGACTTAAACTAAGGCGTATGGTCAATAACGAGATCCTAGTGATGTCAATCAACCTAGTCAGCACGTGATCGCAGAATGCTCGAGCTTTATGTAGTTGTGCACTAACTGCTGGTTGCTTACGTGAAAGTAAATTTCGTATAAATTATGTATAATTTACTGATAGATTTCATTTTTCTTTTAGTAACCTCGAAATGTTTTGAACTCGATGTAAAATAAAGCTTTTGATGGATTTTTTAGTTGAAATATTGGTTGCCCAGTTTGGCGTTCTGTGGGTAGATTTGGTTGTTTTTTAAGCCATCCTCCCCAGTTGTTTTCTTGTGACTTCCTGGCCAAAACAATACAAAACTTTCCAAAAGGATGTTTACCACTCCAGCTTTTGTCCCCAGTGCCAAATTACTAACCAAATTACAGCTTTGGAAATCTGGGCGTGCACAGTACAGAACGCAAAAAATTGAGTTTTACTGCCCATTCCATATTTGCCCTCTGCTTTTTTAATTCCCACTCCTGTCGTTTTCTACCCCCATTTGTTCTTTTGCTGTGAATTAACAAGAGAAACAGTTTTGCGTAAACCTTGAGGATTGTGAAATTATTTTGAAGTAAGTAAGTATAGGAATAGCTTATTTAATGCGATCTGATAGACCTCGTTCACCTACACAAGATGGGCGTCAATGTTGACTATTATAATTGATGAAATTATAGACTGAAAAGATGAAAGAAAGTTCGAGTAGTTGGTTGAAAATCCTTGCCTTTTTCGTAATGATAGAAATTTGAAATTAACATTTTGGAGAATAAGTTAGTTTCTATCTATTTTTTTAATTTTGTTGCTGTGAAAGTCATGTAGTACCATTGAAAGAACGATTAATGGTTGTTGTGGGAGGCCAGTTGAGAGTAATCTCCGCTTACCAGTCCTTATTTCCAATTTACCATGAGAAAACTGTTATCGCTTCTTCGGTTTTTTGCTGACACGTTAATCATAAATAGCTCATCATAAGCTCCCTCACATTTAAATTGATTACCTCAAGGTAGGAAAACCGTGAACACTTAAAATATCTCAGGAATGTTTACTGTGTTGTCACAAATCACAGAAAAGATCAAGACTCGTGAACTGGTTACAAAACTTCAAACTATTTAACGACCTTGCGAGTAGTTTCTCACGCCTGATTGGCCTTTTTCTTGGAACACAATAACACTCCAGAAAGATTCCAAGTGTTCACCGTTTTCCCGGTCGCTCTGTAAGGCATTAGAGCTGCTATAATCCATTCCAATTTTGCAAAATAAATATTACACAGGTCTATCAAGCGAGAGCTGAGCTTTCAGAAGATTTATCTACGAGGTGTCAATTTTGACACCTAAGGTGTGATTTCCGATTAATATCGCAGGCTCAAAAAATCAAGAATTGCATATATCTGGCTTTCCCTCGATAATTAGGAAAACAAAATTAAATTGGAACTGACTTCTACCTAGATTGTTCATTTACCTTTGAATTACCGGCAGTGCCCGGCAATTTTTTCCTGAGATACAAAGGTGGAATTTTTTTGTAATGCCTTGTAACCTCAGGCCGCCGCCAAAAAAATTCCGAAATATGTTCCCTCATTGCTGGGAATTTAAGACGTTTTTTCTTAACATAATGTGAATAAACCTTGCAAGTTTCAGCGCGATATTATAAATCCTTATCTTTTTGCATCAATTTTTTTTTCAGTGCGGTCCAACTCAGCCGCAAAATCTTCCTTAATACACTGCTTAATATCGCCCTTAATTTTCGTCGCGCTGCGCTGTTTTCTTCGTCGTCATCTTGAATTCTTACGAGTAAACCACTGTTCTTAATGTTCGTTGTGACACTGACCCGATTGTAGCACGGAACGTGGCGAAACAGTGCGAAAATTTTCATTTGAACTCGCATCGTGACTTACTCTCGATATGGCGTCGTAAACAATGTTTTAGGCCTTAGCAACGCGCTTATTTGCATAACAGGTCCTTTAACTGCCGCTTTATCTGTCATCGACCTCGCAAGAATCATATATCTAATGTGTCTCTAGCAGGCTTTTTACAGCCATATAAATGATTCAGAAATATCAAAACAATCGTACTTTATTTAGGGAAGCAGAATGCAAGCGAATTTTGCTATAATTTGCCCTAGCTTACTTCAAAATTCATAACGCGTTATCGCGTGTAAGGTTTTGAAACTGTCAACAACGGAAAGTATCCCGTCGGATTTCAACCCTGTGATTAATACAGTGAAACCTCTATTAAGCGGACACCTTCGGGACCCTCCCAAGTGTTCGCTTAATAGAGGGTGTCCTCTTAATAGAGGTTGTAGAAATTGCGCAATGTTTGTTAACGATCAAGATTCAAAGCATACTCTGTACTGTGATAGAGTTGCATGTTGTCAAAGAAGCTATCCAGAGTTCAAGTTCATTACCTTTCATTACCAACTTTAATTTGTTTGTAAATGCAAAAACATTAACTGCCTTCAGTACGTATTTCAAGGACGTAATCCAATACTATTATTGTCAATTCAGTCCGGTGTCCGCTTAATAGCGGTTTTTAACAATAGAAATTAGCCAAAAACACCTTATTTTGGTGTCCGCGACAGCTTAATAGAGGTGTCCGCTGAATAGGGGTTCGTTATAAAGGAAAATATAAGACGTTAATTTCTGGACCCGGCTTAGCGTCCGCTTAATAGAGGTTTCACTGTATATAGATTTAGCCACGGCTAAAAGCGAAGCTCCCGTTAATAAATTTACAATTTAAATCAAACAATAAACTTGTAATCCACAAATCAGTTAACTTTAGGGCACATTCATGTGGCTTTTTAAGGTAAGGCTAAGTGATTTTAGAGAAAAATAATTTGACAGTTGAAGAGTGAAACAAAATTTCCATCGAGTTAATAGTCTTATATGTACACCCAAAAATAGCAATCATCTTCGATCACAGTAGATTAATTAGATCTGGAAAACAAATTCTTCCCACACCACCTGTACTTTTATAAGGTTACTTCATAGTCTCTTCAACCACTCTGTTGGAGAGACTATGGATAATTGGACAGCCCCGAAATATATTTTCATGCCACACACGATAGTCCTTGGTGGCAGCCAATTTACACATTCCATTCCTCTGTTTAAAAGAGAGGCCAAACTAAAACATCAGGCCGGATTTTTTGTGTTCGACAAGTTTACTTTACAAGTAAATCTTGACAAATCTGGTGGCGTGTAAATCAGCCTTTTAAATATACTTTTTATACTCACGTCTGAGGTAAACAGTACTATGAGGCGCTGTTTTTTATCATACAGAATGCGGACAGAATTTGTTCTTTTTTGCGCTATTTAATCTTATAATTCTGCATTTTTTCACAATTTTGCAATACGAATTGCGCTCGATCCAGGGGGATCGAAGTACGCGCTTTGCTTTGGACAACAAATTATAGAATTGACCACATTAGAGGAGAACGACGAACTTTTAGCCCCACCCATCATGGATATCATAAATACCTCCTTTCGCGAAGGCCGGCTGCCCTTATCTTGGAAAGAGGCAGATATCGTCCCTGTTTCCAAACAAAGACCTATCCAAAACGTCAACAAGCACCTTCGCCCCATTTCCCTTACCCCGATCCTGTCCAAGTTTGCAGAGGATTATGTTGTTAATGACTTTGTGATGCCCGCCGTGCTAAAGAAAATCGACAAAAAGCAAAATGGGACAATACTGGGAGAAGACTGGGGCTAGCATGTCGAGAAACTAGGTCGAGTAATCGCGGAGTAAAGACCTTCGATGTGACTGTCCGCAAACTTTACACTTTGCATGGTAACTAATGGCCGAGATTTTCAATAATCTACTCAACAAAAGAACGTTTAGATCATCGGACTCCTCGGACGACGCAACCACATCGCCTGAGGCGAAAAAACCTATGAAGTACGATTCACCGCTCACTGTAGGACCCGAACAAGAAGAAGATGAAGTAATGACAGCTCTTAATATCTCGTAGGAGGTTGGGGCGAAACTACAAAAGATTTTGGAAAAGCTAGAAAAGCTAGACACGATAGAACTGTCTTTGAAGATAAGTGAATCCAAACTGGCAAGTCTAGAAACACGAACGATAGCGTTGGAAGCTTTCAAAGAAGAAGCCAAGAAGGACATAAGCGAGTTGAAAGATGACGCCAACTTTGCTGAAAAACAATTACAGGAGAAGTCTCAAGAGTTAGCAAAGGCACAAGCAGAAATTGCCGAGCTCACGAGGAAGGTGCAAAAACATGAAGAAGCAGTTAAGGAGACCGAGTCAGAAAGCTTATATCTTGAGGCCTATTCTCGACGAGAAAACATCAAGTTTATGAACATCGAAGAAGGACCTCCAGTCCAACCTGAAGACACCGAGGGGATTTTAAGAGGCTTTTTAGAACGCGAACTGGGATATGTAGATACTCAGAATGTAGAATTTCAACGTGTCGACCGCACAGGAAAAACCAAAGATGAGAATCCTCGTCTAATGCTTGCACGTTTCCTGAGGTATAAAGATGTGCAAAACATTTTTTCACTGGAACACCGCTTGAAAGGATCAAAGTTTCAAATGTTCCGAGACCTACCGACTGAAATTGTTGCTTTCTCTATTAGCTTTTCAGTTTTTTCTTGTCTTTTAAACGTAGGAGAGAGCCTAGGAAAACGCGTCTTTCGTCCCCAGTCAAATAAACCTTTTATTGATTTAATGTGCGTATCTCTGTTTACATTTTGCCTGCCAATGTTTAGGTTGCTGTGTTTTAAGTAACCCTACTGTTATTTTATTTAACCTCTTGTTTATTTTTTTTTTATTTCTCATATTTGTTTTTTATTGCCAGAATACTCCTTGGGCAAAGTCAGTCGATGCTAACTGACACAAACGTCTAAAAGTGGATCTTAAAATAGGATCAATTAATGTTAGAGGTTTGGGAGACCAGGTCAAGCGGCGAGAAATCTTTAACTGGCTTCGAGCAAAAAAATATTCAGTACATTTTATTCAAGAAATTCACTTCACAGAAAACAATAAGAATGATTGGCTGGCCGAATGGGGCTATCAAACTTTGTTCAGCTGCTGAACCAGCAAAAAGGCAGGTGTTGTCATACTTTTTAATAATAACTTCACCTTTCAAATTTCTAAAACATATTCCGATCCCGAGGGACGGTTTATAATATGTGATCTGACTTTAAATAAGAACCAATTAACGCTGACAAACATTTACGCTCCAAACAACGATGATTCAAATTTCTTCACCTCGGTTTTTAGTCATCTGGCTGATTTCAAGTGCGACGAGATCATAATAGGTGGCGATTTCAATTTAGTTTTAGATGTCGAAAAAGATAAAAAGGGTGGCCTTGCAAGAACTCATAAAAAATCATTGGAAGTTATCAATAGCGCCTCTGAAAGCTTAGATCTGATCGACGCCTGGAGAGTTCTAAATCCCGACTCTTCCAGATTTACATGGCGACAAAAGAAGCCTGAAAGCCACTGTAGACTTGATTTCTTTCTAATTAATCAATGCACTTTCTGTAATATTATTAATGCAGAGATATTAGCAGGACAACTTTCAATATGACAAAGACGTGGCATTGTCAAGCTTATTCCAAAGAAAGATGCCGAGCTCATTCTCATTAAAAATTGGCGACCATTAACGCTGTTAAATTGTGGATTGCATCAAAAGCCATTGCAAGTCGTATCAAAACTTTTCTTCCAAAGCTAATGTCAGATGATCAAACAGGCTTTCTTAAAGGCAGGTGTATCAGTGAGTATATTCGTTTGTTGGACAGAGTCATCAAATACACAGAAGGAAGAAACATTCCGGGCCTTCTTCTTTTTATCGATTTTGAGAAAGCTTTTGACGCTAGAGTGGCCTTTTATCCGGAAAACTCTCCAGCACTTCGTTTCGTGCCCTTACTGTTAAATTGGATTGAACGTTTTTACTGTAATATTGAAAGCTGTATCCTAAATAATAGATGGGCAAGTAACTTTTTAAAACTCAGTCGAGGAGTTACTCAAGGCTGTCCTTTGTCGCCATATCTATTATTCTATCTGCAGAAATACTTGCTGACGCCATTCGGAAAAAACAGAGGATTAAAGGCATAGAAATAAACGGCATTGATTTCAAGTTAAGTCAATATGCCGATGACACGACACTAATCCTGGACGGCTCCGAAGAATTCTTTTTAGAACCTGTAATTTTAATAGAAACTTTTGGTAACATATCTGGTCTCAGACTCAATATCAAAAAGACGGAAGCTCTGTGGATAGGGTCTAAAAAAGATTGTGACCTAAACTTCTTCCAGAAAAAGACTTCAAATGGCCAAAGAAAAAGGTCAAAGTGCTTGGGGTTTGGCTCTCAACGGACCCCAGTATAATAATATCCTTAAATTACAAAGAAAAAATTGAAAAAATCAGATCGATCCTCGAATGCTGGAAATTTGCTGCAGACTTACATTATTAGGGAAAATAGCAGTTTTAAAGAGCCTGGTTGCATCTCATTTAGTCTACATATTCTCACCTCGGTAAACTTACCGCGAAGCGATCAAAGAAATCAACACAATTTTCTATAAGTTTCTATGGAATGATAAAGGAGACAAAATCAAATGAAAGATAATGATTAATAACTATTCCGAAGGAGGACTAAAAATCGATCGACGTTGCTTCTTTTAACAAATCCCTTAAAGCCACGTGGATCCAGAAATATCTGGACCCTGAAAGTCGCAGTAAATGGAAGCGACTCTTTGATTCCGAACTTGAAAGAAATGGAGGTGAAGCGATATTAAAAGGAAATCTCAACAAAAAAGTTGTTAACAACTTAAGAATTTCAGACCCTTTTGTGAAAGAAATACTTGTAATTTGGTCGGAAGTTTTTTTCCAGGAAACAATGGTATCTGAAGAACATCTTTTGTGGTCACCTTTGTGGCAAAACTCTCTGATAAGAATTCAGAATAAGCCTGTTTTTTATAACGACTGGCTTGTTAAGGGTATTACGCAAGTTAAACATTTAATGGATGAATCCTCCAATTTCTTTTCCCTTGCTCCTTTTCAGATTAAATATAACTTGCAAGTTTGACCTCTAACCTTCTTTGGATTAATCTCAGCAGTCAATCGTCTACGAAGACAAAACACCAAAACTCAATCTAAGTATGAAAATTGTTTTTCAAAATTTCTTATGAGTCGAAAGCCATCTAAATTTATCTACCAAGAAATTGTGTCAAAAAACTGTAAGTGGCCAATTTCATGTCAAGAAAAGTGGCGCAAAGATATCAATCTTCCGCCAAAGGAAATTACTAATTGGAAAGTCGCTTATCAAACATCCTTTTAATGCACAAAGAGCAGTAAACTTATCACTTTCAACTTCAAATTGTTACATCGCCGGTTCCCAACTAACTGTTTCTTAAAAAATGTCGGACTTGGAGACGATGATAAGTGTTCTTTTCGTAATAAGGAAACGGAAAACTTGATACACTTATTTTGGAGATGAGAAAAAACAAAACATTTTTGGGATAGTGGATGCAGTCTTGCCAACTCACCTTTCGGTGAACATAATTACTTACACATAAATACGGCTTTGGGTCTAAGGCCAGATAGATCTAAACACAAACTCCAAATCAATTTTTGTTGCTTAATTGCCAAGCACTATATCTGGCTTTGTCGCTTAAAAGAACATCCCGCCAATTTAAACAACTTTTTGCTTTATTTAAAACACATTTATCAAATAGAAAACAATGCCTCTACTGAAAAAAATAAATGGGAACCCTTGTTGCCTTATATAAGCCTTTTGACCTAGCTGAGTCTCCAAAACTTAATTAAAAATAAATATCTTCTCTACATCTCTTTTTTTGTTTTGACTGTGCCCTTTTACCCAGGGAAAAAAAAGGAAACGAGAGAGCAGGGAGAGAAAAAGGAAAAAAAGAACCAGATGTATTAACTTCGCATTTGCTTTTAGCCTGCTGCTCTCCTCTCAATTGATGCTTTGTTTGCTTTTTGATGTGTGTGCGGTTTTTTTGTGGTTTTCTTTCTTTTGTCACTTTTTACTTGTAATTAATTTGTTGTTGTTGTTGTTGTTAAAATAAATCAATCAATTTAAAAAAATGTCGAACGAATAGCTCGCGTAATGTTGGTCAGGAGGCAGTGATTGCAATTTTTCATCTTTATACGCCTCTAATGTCTTCCAAAAGGAAAGGTAGATCTAGTACAACATCTCAATCTTCTAATCAGTCACCTGAAGAGAAAAAAAGCAAAAATAGTGAAACGGACGGAGTGTTTGAAGCGCTGGAGAAGACGTCGGTCTGAAACTGCAGCGTTTGCTGGATAAATTAGAAAAACTCGATTAGATAGAAGCGCATCTTAGCGAGGTCTCTGCCAGTCTTGCTAGTATTGAGGAGAAAGTATCTCGTTTAGATGAAGATGTACAAGACCTGAAGCAAAAAACAAACAGAGTGGAAAAGAAAGCGGTCCGGATTTGAAGGAAGTATACAGTTCAACAAAGACGACATTTCAGATCTGAAGAAAGAGTCAAAGGAGTCAAAGTTTGAAATAAATGATCTTCGTAAGCAGTCATTGTATTTAGAAGCCTATTCAAGAAGAGAAAATGTTAAATTCTTTGGGATTGACGAAGTAGTGCCTGCATCTGAAGTTGTCTCCCCACCGAAATACAAGAGCTTTATTGTTCATATTCCTAGAAAACAAGTTTCGTATTGAAAACCCTCGTGGTAGAATCAAGTTCCAAAGAGTCCATCGATTGGGAAAGCCTAACAACCGCAGTAACAAACGTTGCCCAATTATCGCACGTTTCTTACGACATTCGGACAAGGAAATGGTGATGGATCAAGCCCGCAAGGAGTTAAAGAGGCAAGAGGACAAAACATTTTCTGTGTTTGACGATATACCAAAAGAACTTTATGAAATAAAGGAAAGTCACATGAAAAAGTTCAAGGAAGCCAGAGGGAGAGGCTGTACAGTATATTTCAGCAAAGCGCAACCAGATAAGTTATTTGTTAATGGTAAATTTATTCCTGCAAATGCTCTATTGACAGATTTTGTTTAGGTAAGAGCACCTCTCTCTACACATTTCCAGAGATAAAAATGTTTTCGTTTTCGTGGTTATTTTCCTTTCATTTTCTGTTATTCAAAGCTATCGCAGCATGCCAATAAAGTATTTCTTTGAGTGTCAGATTGCTGTAAATGTGTTGATAAATTTTTCCCACCAAATTAGGTCCTACCTACTCTGGCAGTATGGGGCATAATAACGAGTTCAATCTTTTGTCGTTAAATGTTCGTGGGATTCGCACTTTTGAAAAGCGGAAAGCTGTTTTTAATTGGCTTGTAAATTCCCAATGCCGACATATTTTTCCTGCAAGAAACATACGGCACTCGAGATATTGAAAATATCTGGAGAAAACAGTGGAAAGGCGAAATGTTCTTCTCGCATGGCAGCAATCATAGCTGAGGCGCTCTAGTACTGATAAGGGATAATTTAGATTTCAAAATACATTCTACCAAGGTAGATTCTCAAGGTCGCTACATTTTTCTGGAGGCTTATATTCAGGATTCGCCTTACTTTCTTTTAAACATTTACGCTCCAGATAAGTGTAGTGAACAATTTCTCTTCTTCAAAGACGTATCGGATATTCTAAAAGGTGTAAGAGTGGAACAAGATCACCCATTTATAGTCGGTGGGGACTTCAATATCATTCTTGGCCATGTCTTAGATGGGCAGGGCGGTAATAGTAAAAGGAAAGACTCCGGAAAAATTGTTGAAGACATGTACGCTGAGCTTGATTTAGTGGATATCTGGCGCATAAGAAACCCCAGAGTTACACGTTTTACTTGGCGTCAAAAGAAACCAATCATACAAAGGCGCCTTTAGATTTTTGGCTCGTAGGCAATAGTTTACAAGATGACATAGATTCAGTGGACATTAAAACGTCAATTAAGTCAGACCATTCAGCAATAACGCTCTCTATAAATGGTTTACCTGATCTTGAAAAAGGACCTAACTTCTGGAAATTTAATTCAAACCTAATAAATAATTCGGCTTATTGTGAACTTCTAACCACTGAGTATGCCAATTGGCTAGAGGAATTCAAAGAAGTACAAGATAAACGCGTCTTGTGGGATTTAATTACATACAAAATTAGACAGCAAACAATCAGATACATCAAAACTAAAGCCCGGGAAAGAAGAGCGAAACTAACCTAGAGGAAGATTTAAAGGAATGTACGGAAAAATGCGATTCCGATCCAAATACGAAAAATCTGGAGGAACTCAACTCGAGTGTCTTCAGACGGAATATGATAGTATGTATGATTACATCACACAAGGTGCCATCATTCGTTCTCGGGCAACTTGGTACGAATTCGGCGAGAGAAATAACAAATATTTTTTTGAATCCGGAAAACTCCCAATAAAAAGAAAAGCACCTTGCGGAAAGTCTTCAACAGGGAAGGAAAATTAACTACATACCCTAAACAAATAATGAATGAGCTAGAAGCATTTTATTCTGAACTTTATGGCTCGTGTTTGGAAATTTCTTGGTGGAAAGTCTAAATAATGCCTTTGAGTACGGAGAGCTTTTAAATTCACAGAAACAGGCGGTTATAACTTTAGTTGAAAAGAAAGGAAAAGACAAAAAGCAAATAAAAATTGGCGTCCAATGTCTCTTATTAAGGAAGATGCAAAGATAGCGTCCAAGACCTTGGCCAAGCGGTTGGAAAATGTGCCACCCGAAATAATTCACTTTGATCAGAGCGCCTTTGTCAAGGCGAGAACTATTTTTGATGCCATCAGAACAATTGACGATGGGATTGAGCACACGATCAACGGGGACATATCGGAGATCATAGTGGCCCTAGATTTTGAGAAAGCTTTTGATTCCCTCAATTTTAATTTCCTTTCAAGAGTCTTACGCATTTAACTTTGGTCCTACTTTCATTCAGTGGGTACGGGTCTTGTACAATAAGGCCTCCAGCTGTGTTATGAATAATAGTTTTACTTCAGGACCTTTCTCTCTAAGTAGAGGAGTAAGGCAGGGGGATCCTCTTTCTCCTTATCTTTAAATATTAGCTGTGGAGATCTTTAATTAGCTATTAAGATAAGAAACGATAATAACATTCAAGGTATTAGGATAGGGGAAAAACTGTTAAACTCACTCTTTTTGTGGATGATATGACCTGCGTTATTAAAGACATTAGGTCTTACTCAATCCTATTCGAAACCCTGAGGGCTTTCGGAGCGTTTTCAGGGTTAAAAGTAAATAACGATAAAACCGAAGCATTAGCGTTAGGAAATAGTGGATCCCTCTTGGAAGGGCAATTGGATATGAATAGTCTTTGTGAAATCATCAAGATTCTAAATATTTATTTTGGTGGTGAGGCTAAGAAAAGAGAAGAATTGAACTTTTGGAAGACCCTGGAATCAATTAACAAAACGATTAACTTATGGAAATGGCGAGGCCTATCTCTTGTAGGCAGGATACAAATTGTTAAAACCTTTGCCATCCCTAAGCTTATGTTCAGAGCATCGGCTATTTCAATCTCTAAGGATCTCGTGAAATAATCTGAGTCTATCTTTTATCATTTCATCTGGAACAGGAAGGACAAAGTAAAGCGCAACGCAATTGTTTCAGAAGTTGAGAATGGTGGCTTGAATACGTTTGATACTGAATCCATGGTTCGCACTAAGCGAGTGATATGCTTACAAATCCTTTTAGAGGATTATGAAAGTCCATGGAAAATGTTTTTAGGATGTTTCTGAAACCTATTGGTAGTAAGTTTTTACTGCATTGTAATTTTGAGGTTTCGAAACTAAATATTTCTCTGCCAGCTTTCTTTAGCAGTGTCTTGTTGCATGGTCAGAATTAAACGCAAGGGAACCTACTTCAGTACACGAAATTGTAAATCAAGTCATCTGGAACACCAAGGTTCTCTGTGTTGATAAAAGATCTGTTTACAGAAGAGATATTGCAAAATTTGGGGCTTATTTTCGGTTGATAATGTACAACTTAACCCTGAACAAAGTTTTTTCATTACGAGTGTAATTCATTCCATGCCAGCAGCATGGCGTTTGTTAATTCGAACAGCTAAAATTGCACCAGTGCTTTCACCTCTGCCGAATACACCAGCTATTTTGATAAATGATGTCTTAATTCCAATTCTTGACGCTTCTTCAAAGCACATCTATTGGTCTTTTCTGGCGATATGGGACAATACCTAGATCATGCACTACGTAAGCACTTGTTAGCATGATCCATAACTGGCACATCAGCTCTCATGGGAAACCGGCCTCGATTAGGGTAGTTTTATTTGATTTCCGTAAGGCGTTCGATCTCATTAATCACAATATCTTATTGCGTAAACTCTCAGATTACGATATTCCGAACCACATCTGGATTGCTGACTTTCTATTGGATAGGAGACAGAGAGTTAAACTGGCCCAGGATTGCTTCTCCGAGTGGCGTTACTTCCCAGCTGGTGTTCCTCAAGGGAAAAGGCTAGGGCAGTGGCTCTTCTTAATAATGATTAATGATTTGAATGCAGAAGAGGCAGATATGTGGAAATATGTGGATACCAAAATCCCTGAGGTGGTAGATAAAGGCTAAGAGAGTTTTGTTCAGCAAGTGGTAGACGATCTCGCAATACAAGCAAGGGATGACGGATTTCAGTTAAACGAAAGGAAATGCAAAGAGCACAAGATTAGCTTCGCAAGGAACGAACCAGAATTTGACCCTATCTGGGTTAACCGTCAGACCCTAGAGACTGTGAACAATGTGAAATTGTTAGGACTTAATATTAGCAGTGATTTAAAGTGAAATATCCATGTGTCAGATCTGCTTAGAAAGGTCTCAACAAGATTAAATTTTCTAAGACAGCTTAAGAAATCGCATGTGGCTACAAGAGAGCTTCTTCTACACATGCATTCGCTCTAGTCTGGAGTATGGCTTCCCAGTTTTTCACAGAGTTTTTTTTTTACAGCCCAATCATAACTAAATATTCTTCTGAACGTTTTATTTTTATCTACGGTCAGAAAATGTCTAACGGCTTTTTAAAGTTCCGTGAGCTTATATCAAACCTGATACTATTGTAGGTTAGATCATTGTCTCGTGCATAAAGTAGGCGCATAAACTACGCTCAACTTTAGGAAAGAGGGAAAAAACATCAAATAAAATAATTAGTCAGGCTTACCAGTCGAGATGCAGCTCCTGAAGGCCATCAAGTAAGGCTAGAATAGCTTGAGACTTTTCGACCCTCTTACGCATCAAGCAAGGGGAAGCGAGTACGCTCATTTTTGAAAAAGATGCCATCCGAAATCGGATTTCCAATGACTTTGACAAGCGGTACATTTAATAATAATAATAAACTTTATGTAAGTGTCAGGTACATACGCTATGAAGCTAATTGAAGACACTATGAAATAAAAAGATATATATATACAGCAATAAACTAAAATAGTAACAGTAAAAAAATATAATAATAATTTATATATAAAAGATTTAAGAACTAAATAAGGTGCATTCCGACCCACATTTGTCTTCCGTCAAGTGACCGGCTAAATTACTTTTTCTAATTTTCTTTTCAAATTTATCAATTTCAGTTAACGTTCTTAAGGCTATTGGTAAACTGCCCTTTTTAAAACGCGCCTTTTTGCGGATCAAACGGGAAATACGTGGCTGAAAATTAATATGCCGCCCCGATTCTGATTGCCTGCAAAGATGTCAAATAACTTCGCTCGACCAGTGAGATCCTGAGGATACCATTTCAATGCCAGAGTTGGCGTGAATTGATGTTGATGAGTTTGTACTTGCTCGACACTTGCTTACTTTGTAGTTCTGCATTGAACGTTTGACGTTTAGAGATTTTAAATTTTCAGTTTTTTTCTAGTCGGACTTCGAAAACTGCAGGCAACTGGATGAAATTGAGCAAGAACCTCAAGCGAAAAACACCAAGAGAGCAACTGAGTGTGAGGTAAAAAAGTTCGAGAAATGGTGTGAGAAAAGAAAAATTGCAGTGGATCTCAAAACAGTAAGTCCTACAGACTTGGGTGAATTTCTACGAAAGTTCTTCGCTGAAGTGAAAATAGAGAAAGGCCAAGCATTAACTCCAAGTGCATTAAGTGGAGTCAGAGCGGCCATTCATCGCCATCTAACTTGTGCTCCACTCAGCCGCAACATAAGCATTTTGCAAGACAGCAAACTCATATCTGCCAACAAAATGTTTGAAGGGAAAGCCAAGTTATTTACGAAAGAAAACAATGCGAAACCAAAACACAAATCATCTATTCAGTCAGGAGACATGCAAAAAATTGAATCGATACTTCATGGAAAGGCAAAACACGGACGGCGTCTGGAGAGATGAGGAGAAGCTAGTTGAGTTTATTTGGTTTTGGTTGAGTTTTCATTTTGCTCGCCGCGGCGGAGAGGGATGAAGGGAGCTTAAAAGGCAGTCATTTTAAATAAAAACGGATGACACTGAGGCCCTTTAAGTCACCGAAAAACTTACTGAACAAACTGAAAATTACCAAGGAGGCGCTAAACAGTCTGAGTCATACTCGGATGTTCGAATGTACGAAACGTCAATTGCACTTGATCCAGTAGCTACGTTTGAATTTTACCTCTGCAAGACTCAACCCGACTGTAAGTCATTGTTTCAGAGTCCAGGCAAAGTTACCACCAAGAATATAAACTTTGCAAACCCCCGAGAGTGGTACAGAAATGAGCCAGTCTGGGGAAAATACCATCAACAAGATGATGGAAAGGATTTCCATCAAAGGGGAGTGGCATCGACTGTCACTTCTTTGTTCCAGCGCAGTGAGGGTTTTTTTTTTGTCGCCGGCCCGTCAGCCGGTCCTAGCTCAAACTTAAACCCACAGTCTCTTCTCTAAAACCAAAATTGCACCAAACATATTCAGATTGGAATGAACATTTATCACGGAAAGTATGAAGGACTGTCGCTATCAACCGGCAAACGCCGCCGAATAATCAAAAGCGATGATAGCGACTAAAAGCTCTAACTTATTTCACGAAATTAGCAAAGACAGTCTGAGTCCATTGCCTATGAACGGGAAGACTATTATTTTTTTAAATATAAACTGTCTTTTTGCTAATCATTGTTACCAATCTTTTTTAAAACCATATTATATTTGAATTTTGTTGTAAACAAAAAAGATTTTTATTTGGCTCTTGCTTAGCTGATCGTATTGTAGCAACAACTTTCCATACCATAGTTTCATGCTACATCTCTGTTACATATTTTTTCTTATTAAAAGAACTTGCACGATTTGGCCTTGTGTATTGATATATTTGTGTCCCTCGTAGCATCATTTGCACCCTCGCACCGCTCCGGCGCAAATGATGCTACTCGCCACAACGGCCTATTTGCCCTCCAAAAGTTATGTGATTGTCCTATTTACGTCAAAGATACTGACCAAGATATTTTATAGAATGTTTACCAAAAGTTATCGTGTTGACTCTAGGAATCATAAAATCAGAATTACGTAGATTCTAGTTAGTGTTTGATCTTTGAAACAGCTCAGAAATATAATCTGGAGACATTCCATTCTTAACTTTAAGCATCAAAATTGTCAAGACCTGCAGTCTTCTGTTGCATAAAGTTGGCAGGGTTGCCTTCTTCAACAAGCTCTCGTAACTTGATGTATTGTCATTAAATACCGTTCGCAAGCCTTTCTCTTGCATTCTTTTCAATTTGCGCTTGTCGGATGCTGTTATGAAGAACCGTACAGTTGAACAATAGTTCAACCCAGAAAGGATAACAGATTTAGAAAGAAGCAACTTGGTCTTCTCTGTCACCAGTTTCCTCATCCTTGTCAGAGTTCCAATCCTAGAAGTAGCTTCGGGGCACATTAACTTAACATGTTTACTAAAATTAAGTTTGTTATCTAGAACGACTCCTAATAATTTCAGAGAGTTTCTCAATCAAAAACGTAATAAACAAACCAGCCATGAATAACGGAAGAATCTTATAGCAGCTGTATTTCATATTGTACATCCAGTGGAAAAAGTAGTTAAAACCATCACAAGATGACATAAAACAAGTGTCAAGATGCTGCATAAATTTTCCGCAGTCGCCTGTCAAATTTTGACCAATTAGAGCACAAAAGTTAAAAGTACAGCGCGGCCAGCGCATGACCATGGTTAGAAGAGTCACAAGAGACTGCCTTCTCTGCATGTAAAAAACCGGCTGAATTTTCGCGTCCGAGGTCAGTTTGAAATCAAAATTTTATTTAAATCGAGCTGCTCGAGAACACAACTTATCTCATGTACATTAAAAATAATCGAACTTGAGCCTGCGATCATTTGAAAAGTAGTGACTTGTTAGCGGATAACTTCCAAAAAACATTCGAACTCAGTGGATCGACACCTGATCCGGCGACACTGTCAGGTGATACTGGTTAGCGGACACACAGTTTTAACAGTTGTCAATTGATCACAACATAAAAGTAAAATATCAGGTTGCAGGCTCCCAAAGTAGCTAGAAACTGTGAGGTTAAACATAGGTATGTCTGTGGTGCGCACGGACGGTTAGGCGGTCAATGTGCGGTCACATGGTTGCCACATTTTCTAAGATGGATAGATTTTCTAAGCTACGGGACTCCGCTACAAATACAGAATTGAGCCCGTGATGAAATAAAATATTAGCGGAAAACTTCAAAAAATACGTGACGTTTATGGGTAGAAAAACGAGCCCGCGATAAAGTCAGGTGACGATGGTCAGTAGATGCTCTAGTTTGACAGCTGTCAATCGACCTTCATTAGAATGGCGAATAATCGAATAAACGGACTGCGAATATGGCAGCTTAGTGTGCGTAAGCATTTCAGTCCAGCTCGTAGTGGGGGCGAATTAGAAATGCGCGATCGTGTACCTGAGCCCACGTTATTACTCTGCACATGTCCCATTTTGACAGCTGTCAATTGGCCTTAATTTGGCTTGCACATTTATCTTTAGCTACTGACGGCCCACTGACAGTCCTGCCCGGTGAAAGCGTAGTTTAATTTTTATGTTGGTAATTGTGACATATTGCATCAGCGTGCTTGTAGGGGCAAAACGACTTGTCTTTCATTTAAGCCCACGAGATGATCATGAGATACTTGTCAGCGGATGACCGATTTTGACCCGTGTCAAATCATCTTTATATGTCAGGCTATTGTAGTCTAATGTGACATTTGACATCGGCTTACATGTAATGAGTGAACTGAACGGGCTGACAGGCGTACGCTACGTCATAACCAAATTTTCTGGGATGGATAGTTTACCAAATTTTCTTAGCTATGGGGCTCCTCGCGTGCGCTCCTCGAGGAGATCCGCTATTAATATTTCAAAACTAGCGCTCTTAAATATCAACTTTGACCTTCATTTTCTCGGCTCCTATTTAACGAAAATGCTTCATGTTTGGAATTTGAGTTCAGGTTAGAGTACGTTTCAAATAAGCGATTTTATAATCATGACAATTTTTTGACTTCATAGCTTAAAAATTTGACGGCCATAAGAGTCGAATTCTATAATTGTCTTCGTAAATCCCAGTTAACCGATGTTAACAGAACCAAATATTTAACACCAAGGTAAAGCAGGTCTGTTTCAGAAAATCCCATCTTTTTCAATTTAACCCAACTGAACATCTCATTGAGGCGGGTGTCTAATTACTCCAAACAGGAACGTTCGTTACGATTCGATGGAGCGAGACTATCCAACCAGCGGTGGAAATTCAAAGCGATGGGCCATAAACTAAAGGATGTCAAGGAAATAATGCCCCAAGGAGGGCCCACAATTCATATTTTAAAATGGATACATGAATATAAAGGTGAAAGCAAGATTAAACTACCATATTGTGGGATCAGTACATACAACCCGAAAAAAATTCCAAAATACTACAACGCGCTGTAAATCGTTTTTAAGCTCTGTGAAGAATCAAATCAATACTCAGCACATCCAACTCAAGCATGAAGGTAATCGACCATGCTTATTAATGTCAAGTAAATTGCAAGACTAAGACGTCCAGATTATTTCCGTTTTGATAGGCAATAGTAAATTATTCGTTTATTTGTCGAGAGGAAGACTCCGTGTGGTAACCCCATAGTACCTGCTAGGTTGCAGGGACTACCAGTGGATACTAACTCTCGTAAACCATTTAACTGAAATTAAAGTATGTTTTCTCCAGAAGTCATGCGGCGCGGAAACTTTAAACAAAAACTGAAAACTTCCAATGATAATTGATAAAAAGGTATTCACTAGTAATTCCTGATTGCCCAATGTAAGGTTTCGTGTTTTGTCAAAGATATTTGATTCTTTTGTCATTTAAAATGCGCACGTTCAATGAACGCACTGTGGATAGTTCTTAACGATGAAACTTGAAACTTATTAGGTGATTGGAAGACCAAAGAAGAAATCCTTCAACGTCAGATATTTAATAACTGATCATTTCATCTTGTAATTACTTGATCTTAGTAATCGACTTGAAAACAAAATTGATAAGATGAAGGTAAAAATAAGATATAAACAGTTGATTCGCCCAAAGCTAATAATTACCTTGTAGAAATATATACATATCTACACTGTATGTGAGGAAAACGAGTTAAAGGGACGTCAACAGGTTTATTCCCTGAAGGACTGTAAGATTTTGGTCAGACACTTATTATTTTCTTACGCCATCGCTTAAGTATCCCAATAAACTAAGACAGGTATTTTCAACTGGAGACTTTGTTTGACAACAATATTATTTCTTCACTTACCTATCTACCGTATCGTTTTTCCTTTATTTGTAAAATATCCTGCTGCTTGACGCACACAAGTCATAAATGCCATTAAAATATATTTTCCGCTCAACCAACCAATCCTAAACAGACTACGTGTCTTTGGTTTGCACGTTTACTAGTCACGTGATCTTGGAAGAACTATGATTAGGAAACCTGACGTAAACACGTCGGGCAAAGTATTTCTTATTGAAAATAATCTTCGTCTGAAGAAAATGATATTTTAGAGTGGCCAAAAAATTTTTAACAATATTTTTACGTTTTAATTGTCTAATGCTGTACCCTGAGTGATTCAAAAATCTGAAAATGATTCATTAATAATAAGGGTCAAAACCACCTTGATAGGATTACGGGTGACACGGAACAAAAGAACTGGAGACGAACGAGAGTGAATTTAGAATAGACTACTATTTTCAGCGCTCTTGTCCGGTCGACTATATAAAGCACATACACCATGCATCAATTATCATTTTTGAGAGAAGACACACAGGTTGTTACTATGGCTTTGCACCTTGTCATTCCCCCTCTCCTCTCCATGGCTTCCCTTTCGGATGATTTTTATTATTTTGTCTTCCTGCCTCATCCCACCCAACTTTATCTCGGGTGTGTATCTTTCATCCGGAAGAGGCCGCCAGTTTTTCCCAACCTTATATAGAAGAGTGGGCTGGATCGCTGTAAACTGACTACTGTGACGACTCCATACAAATCCTTTTAAGTTTGACTTGGTTCTTAACGTTATAAAACCGATTATCGTGCATTGCAGGCAATGCCACGTAGGCTATAAACCGAATCAAATTTAAAAGGAATAGTATCGAGTCTTGAGCAAAACGGGGCTAGTATTTCAAAGACAATTTCGCCCAAAATGCTAGTTTTTAGTAAGTAGGCCCTTAGATGTTCTTCGGAACTTCCCGACCAATCTCTAAAACAAATATCTATCATTTCAAGCCCCCCAATAGGTTTTGTGGACAATACAACAGGGGCACCAACCGAGAATGTAGTTCAAAACCACTTAAGGTGACTCGACCCAGTTATTTTGTGAGGGTACCATCCTACTTTGAAGCTCTCTGGTATCGCCACCTTTACTTTGATCGTAAGTCTAACATATAGCATAGATAACATATAGATCAATCTACAATATAGCATAAAGTTTTTGGCGATCGAAGTAAATGTCACGTGGTTATAGTGCCACGCCTCTTTGGGGTCTGAGTCGAAATTCTGCTGTTGCCAGCATTTTTTCGTGAAAATCTCTCGGCTACATATAGTGGGTATTAGTGCCTTGCGTTGAACAGAGTTTCACCAAAATTATCGTATCTCGGTGAGCATTCAGAAGTCAGCCAAGCGCGGTCATTGCACGCTTGCTGAACAAGAGTGCTGTATTATGACCGACTAGAAACAATAGAAAACTCCCAAAGCACAAACTCAGCCAAAACGCTAAAAATCTTCAATGTTTACTCAAGTTTGGGCTTATAGAAGATGATGTCACAGTTTTTCAATGACTATGAAATTCAGAATCCGCATATTTCGTTAATCAATTGTGGCTCTGAAAAAATTTGAAGGAAAAAAAACACGAACTTTTAAGAAAATGCTTTTTTCGTGAGAAGGACTCTTAAAAGCTGACAAACGTCAACAAATAGCTAAAACTATAATTCCTATATGTTTGCATTGCTCGAGATCGCGCGCATTTACAAGGTCCTAAAGCTTTTTGCTGACTTGCAAGGACCCATCTGTTATAACGATCCCCAAAATAAAGGAATAAATCTCATAGTTAATTAGATATAATCGTGTAAAGTTTGCTTACCATTTTCTCATAAATTATGGCCTAAATTTGGAAACCGCTGAATTTCTCGAATTGGGTCTTTGCGATTTTGGTGTAACTCTGTTCAACGCAAGGCACTAATACCCACTCTATGTAGCCGAGAGATTTTCACGAAAGAAATGCCGGCAACATTTACTCCGATCGCCAAAAACTTTATGCTATATTGTAGATTGATCTATATGTTATCCATGCTATATGTTAGACTTACGATCAAAGTAAAGGTGGCGATACCAGAGAGCTTCAAAGTAGGATGGTACCCTGACAAAATAACTGGGTCGAGTCGCCTTAAACATAGCATTGTTGAAAGTGTTTTAGTATTTAAACGGTAGATATAGGCATATTTGTATCCCCTAAAAATTTTCATCCTTTCATGAAAGTCTAGTTATCCGGAAAATTATAGGGATCAAAACTCACCTTTTCGAAAATTTCAGCCAGAAAAAAGGCTCCCGAAAATTCTAGGTGACCTTTCTAGGGTAAAAAACCGTTAAAAAGGGCAATTATACCATTCATTAGATGTTCGAAAATCCTAGGAGAGGCGGGAAAGCAAGAAGTGTCACGGCAACTGTTCCGAAAATTCTAGATATCAAATCGTCTTCCGAACAGATATTTGCCGAAAATTGACGTTGGGTGCCCCTGAATACAATTCAGCGTATCACATCACAAGAACTGTCCATATATTTTGCGCCTTTAGGTCTGTTTACAGCGATCCAGCCCACTCTCCTATATAAGGTTGGGAAAACCTGGCGGCCAAACGGACAAGTTATACTATTTGAGGTAATCTAGTGGCAAAAGGAGAGCCCACAAGCCAGACCCCAGCTTCAAAATCCCCAACCTGGTCGCTAAACCTTAACACACACAACCCTGAGACCCCAAAACCGTGAAAAAACCCAAACTAAAAGAAAAAACAACCGAACGAGGTAAGAGAAACTAACAACGAGAACTAAAACGGTAAAACACTGAGGTAGGAGGATAGTAGAAGAGACTACCAACGCCAAATAAGACCGCCAAAAATGGCTTTGAGTGAGAAACAAAACTAAAATACTGGCAAGGGGAACGAGACAACTCAGACCGCAACGAATAAGAAACATTCAATAAACTCATCGAAAGCACATCGCCGCCGGCCAGAAATAATTAAACACATGAAGAGTATCGGCTAGCCAGAAATAAATAAATACATCGGTTGTCCGGAAACAACAATAACATGGGATAGCAGCTGAGGAAAATGAAATGCGACTACTAAAAATAAAATGCACAGAAACACAAAAATGCTTGCAAAGCCTAGAAAAGACAATACGTTCGCAGCAAGGCAATAACATAGCAATTCTTTATCAGAGCTTTACTAATGAACCTTTGCAAGTTTCCGAAATTCATTCGCTTGATTGACATTTACTTTTGAGTTATTTAGTTCAGCATACAAGTATAAAATTCAAAGCTGGATTTATCAGGTTTGTTTACAGTTTTCTGCTGATTTTATTCAGCCCTCTTTCTATTTGTTTTGTGATGTTGTAGTAAGTTGATCGGTTAGTATAAACAGAGCACCGTTATCCCTGATTTCCGACTTACATGTTTGTATGATTTACATGTATAATTTACGTAGACGAGATGAAGTCTGAGTGCCGTCCTTTTTCCAGTTGTAGCAGATCCGTAGAACCGTGGAACAGTAACGAGTTCTACACTGGTTCTAGTCCCGCTGGCCAAGTGAGTTGCAGATTGTAAGGAGAGATTTCCCATGTATTCTTTATTTGATTCGAATTCCTTATCTAGCTTTTAAATATTCCCTTTGAAGTTGTTTTAGCCGTAATTTACATTGAATTTGAATTGAGTTGTTTTACAGCTTAGTCACTGAATAACTAGACCTTTCGCCTGTTCAAATACCACCCGTTCGTAGTTTTTAGTTTTGACATTTTAGGGAATCCTGAGCAAAGGAAATTCGAATTCTTTTATACAGCTTTCTTTGTAAATTTCCTAAATTCACTTGCTTGACTGACATTTAATTTTGAGTTATTTAGTTTAAGATATGAACTTTAAAACTGAATTTATCCAGATTTGTTTTCGCTGTTCAGCTGATTTTATAGCGGCCTTCTTTCCATTTGTTTTGTGATTTTGTAATAGCAGTGTAATAGGTTGATCGCTTAGTATAAATAGAGCACTTTTATTCCTGTTTGCGGAGTTACATGCTTGTACGATTTACACTGCGGAGTTACATGCTCGTACGA